TAAAAATAATTCAAACAGATTTGTGTTCGACGATATTTATTTAAGGTATGCTATTTTTTATAGATAATATTTTAATTTACCCTATGGTTATTACGTACATTATACCGCGGTATGTTCGTGTAAAAGCGTGCGAGCTCGCGCTGTAGTTATTGTTCGTAAATAATTTAATTTCTAACTCTGTCGCATCGGGATTTAATGCGGGATGCTTAGTGGTTTGTAAATTAATTACAAACGAACGTGACTCACATTTGTGTTTTTAATTAATTTGTCTACCTGATTGTTGAAGGTCTTAATATTCAAACGATCTAGCGAAAATTAAAGTTTGACTTTCACGAGTTGCACTGTTCTTTTTTATTATTATTTTTCCCTCCCCGGAAATTAAATGTTATAAAATATTATGCATTCTTTGTTCAACTACCTACACTCGGTTTCCACGTATGAGTACGTGATATAAAATAATTTCGAAACTATGTCGGGACGCCGCACCATCATGATTATACGAGCATTCCAAACGAAACAGAAAAGTGAAATCGATCTGTTTTTGCGTATTCGTGTGGGTAAATGTAGGTACTAAAATAATAATAGAACATTTGCTTTTTGTTATGAACTATACACAAAATAATCAAAATAATAATAACATACCCATCCGTCGATTATATTATATGCAAGCGTAATATTATTTTTATCATTATGACGTTCACAGTCGGTGTCATTATTATGTCGCCGAGTGGAACACTTAAATATTTATTTTTTTTATTTTTTTTTATGTTATTGTAATTTTTATAATTATTTTTTTAACATCGAACAGACTACAAAAAATAATATCACTATGTTTGCACACTATACTATATACATATTACATGCGAATAGAATATATTACGTATGATTAGTTATGTATAAATATTATTTTCCGATCAGTTTTTGGTGGAAGAAAGTGTGTCGACAAACAATAGCATAGTTACTATCGCGTGCATGGATGCAATATAGTAAGTTTTTTTTGGCATAAAATAATACCCGTTCAAGTTAAGTTTTAAATAATATATTGTTGTTCGTATTATAATATTGCAGTAGCAGCAGCAGCGTACATGTTCTATCTCAGTGAATAGGGCCAGACGTTTATTTTTTTTTCCGACGTCTCGAGACCGGAAACCCGCGGTTACCGAAAATGTTCAAGAAAAAACGAATTTAATTTCTTGTTTTTTTATTGCATCGGACGCCTAAATATACGACGACGACGGTGGGAGGAATTCTTCTCCAAAAATAATTTATTTTATGCATTCAGGTAGCTACGACGGTATGTATAATATAATAATAATAATAACGTCTGTCTCGCATACCTTGGTAACTATTTAATCGATGGATACAACGCACATTGTGTACGAATCTTCGAAACTCACAGTTGTGACGGGGCAAAGTGCAGCACAAAATATCAATACAATAATATTAACAATTAAATTATTACCCATCACAGAGAAGAGCAATGTCATTTGCTCGTCTAGTACAACTACAGTCGTACCTACACATAATGTTGTACTGCCCAAACGTGATTTTGTGGCAGTGACGTCGTCCGTCCTGACAGACGCAGACTTCAACTTGGTCGTCCAAACGACGTTTTGAATGAGCTCTTTTACTATTTATTGTAAATATAATTCTTGTTTTGTTTAATTTAATGGAAAATTTGAATTGTACTCTGTACAATTTGATACCTAGTAATCCTACTATATAATACCGATGTCACTGATATACAAATGTTAGAAGTTGCAAACCTACCCATCTAAATTATTTAGTTTATTTAATATCAGGAAAACTTGGACTAAAAAAAAAAATAACTTCGTGTTGTTGTGACCATTTAATTTTTTTTTATACATATTACGAAAACGTGCATTTGCGTACGACCGCTTTAGATCACTCCAAAAGTTTTAAATGTATTTCCTCTGTATACCGTGATTATAATATAGAATTCATAATTGCACACAATAAACAAGATTACACCGCTTCTACGAAAAATGTTGAAAACCATTGTTGACTCTTCGCCAACGGCACTAAAAGATGGAAAATAAAACGTCCTTAAGTAAACAAATTTCGTCCGTGGATTTGAAGAACACGAGTTTTTCTAATTCACGGAAAGACTTGCTCGACGAATTCGGAATTTAATTTCATTGCACATTTCGCTTATGTAAATATAAAAAAGTAAAAAAAAACTCGTGTATAATAATATGTATAGGTAATGTACAAAAAGTTACCTATTTACATTTGACATGTTATATGTAGCTATATGTGTAGAAGTAATTCGTTTTTCGAGAAACAACTTTTATTTTTTTTTAAATCGTGTATCGATGTAGAATATGAGCTTTTATTTCTGTTGTAACGGTTGCTCGGTTTACGATTTATATGCACAAATTCTACGAGCGATATGCGCAGGGTTTTCTAAATTGTGTGAATCAAAATTGGACGTAAGAACCAACACGATGCAGTGCCTCTTTTTCAAACGAAATTTGAAACTCTCTGAAGTACTGTAGAACAATGGCGGTCCATAGTTACATAGGCAACTATCGTTTTATGACGTAACAATGATACGAACAATATAGTGACAACTCTGCAACCAACATCGTAATATAAAGCGCGACATATATTGCGCTAAACTCTATGTATAACATTTCAATAAAAAATTTAATAGTATGAAGATAATATAGACAGAGGGTGGAGAGAAAAACATGGGGAGAAAACAACCGTACTAGAAAAAGATTGCACACGTCCATCTGTACTCAACAACGGCGAGAGAAAGAGGGGGATGGGAAAGAGAGTGAAACTTAACTTCAAAGATAACAGCATTTTCATTACAACAGAAATAGCATATTTTATATAATATTAGGACTATAGCGTTGCATAAATTAAACGTCTCTTATTTCCAACAATAACATGTTGCCACTAGGAAACCTATGGATCCTGCGGAGACTCTAAGTCCTATAAAAATAAGAGAGTGGACTGCGATTGCTGCTATTAACCGAGTCTGACGTTAAATAATAACATACAATATACCTATACACTTTGACTCAATTTTCTGCTCCGGCAATCACGGCTTTCTATTTCTACCCGATGCATATTAATTTCAGACCGTTATATTATAATCAAGCAATATATCGTGGCGCGGTTGAGTAATAGAATTTGCCGGATTTCCACGTCGCGAAAATTGGGGGAAAAATTGGAACGCTCAAAGAACGAACGTCGTTATAACAATAATGTAGGTGCGCTTAAAACTGTAAGTACGCATATTAACTATATGTCTATATAGTATATAGTATATAGTATATATAGTGTATATACACTTGTATATACATTAAAAACGTACACTGCATGGGCAATACTTACAAAGGTGTACATATACATATACTATATATATATATATATATGTAGGGCCATATTATTATTGCACTACTAATACGAATTTATTGTTATGGATTACTTTTCGGTGTACTTGAGGGGTAGGTATACGAATCTCTGCCACGTCTTACGTACATACCATAATAATAATAATAATAATAAGAGTTCTGTTTTATTTATTTTTTTATTTTTATATCTTATATTCCACCCGAGAGAGATAACTACTACTACTACTACTACTACAGCCGCAGCAGCTATTATCGTGAACGACTCGAGTTTAAATATTATTCTCTTGTTACGGTTTGTCTTTGCAAACCATCGAGTCTTAAAGCTACCGTAGGAACATTTAAGTCACCGCGGGTTTAGGTGCGGTCGGTTTAAAACATGAATTATGATTACGGCATTTCGCATAACGACCGACCGCGGTAACACGCAGTCGTGGTTGTTGTTGTAGGTCTTGTTGTTGTTGTTGTTAAAGTTTGAGCGTAAGTCCCCAATATATTATGTTTTCTTTAATTTATTTTTCGCCCGGAGCCGACACACTGTGAGCAATATTTTCAGACCGGTACATGCGATGTTCAAGTATTATTATTATTGTTCGTCAAAACATCGTCTTAATGCGATCGATAATAATTATTATTATTCTCTTACACAGCAAACACGCTGCGAGTTATTTGTATCGACTTGTATATAGAAGGTATACCGAGAAAGAAGCTCGTTCGCTGTACGTCATCACGGACGACGGAACGTGTATATCGTTTAAGTAAATTCCAAACTCGAAACAGAATGAAAAAACAAAGAGATAAAAAATATTATTAATAGTATGAAATTTAATGCGATCAAAATTCTTTCGAACATATTATAACGAAATATTTGGATAGTTGGAATGATTGTGTACAAGAATTCCCACCATTTTACAGATGACATTTTTAAAGATCCAGTCGCCTGTAACAACTTTACAATATCTTAAATGATTTTATTTCAAATGTTGAATAACAATCAAAGAGATTCAGTGCTGTTCGGAACGTTCACTAAAAAAATTCATTCGTTCACGTTTACTCCTTAAAAAAGGCACTCGTTAACGTTCACGTTCGTGTTTTTTTTCAAAAGAACTAAAGTTTGTTGAAAAAATGAATTCAAGGAGGCTCATTTAATTTTTTTGACATTTTTTACAGTATTAATTACAAGAAGAAAATTATAAAAGGCATCTTTATCAATCGATATATTTTAAATACATATTTATTAAACGGCAAATAAATCGAGTTTCTTAAATCGTACGAATTCATTAAAATATAAACGTCGTTCACCATCACCTTCAATTTAATAAAAAACGAGTGACGTTCGCGTAACTTTCACTAAGAGTATGAACGTGAACTTGGGAACGTGCGTTCATGAACGACGTTCCATCCAAACACTGGTGAAATCACATCCGCGTTCAGTGTTTTCTTTACGTTACTATAATAACAATCATTTTACGTCGACCCCCTCCACCTGACCAGCTGATAGACAGAGATGCTCTAATCTACAGTGATCTCATTAATAGACACTAGAATCTCGTAACCCATCCCATCGCCCACACACCCATCCGCAAACCCAACAAATCGGTAAACGTCACTGACCTTGTGATGGGGCGTAGATGTTCAGATACAGGCAATCCTCGGACTGGTTGCGCAGGTACGGCAACAGGCGCTTGAGGTAGACGAGCCGGCCGACGGGCATGCGGTTGAGGGCTGCCGTCTCGTTGGACACGTCCGGCAAGCGTTGCGGACACACGGGCCCGGGGGCGTCGGCCATGCGGACGCCGTCCCAAGGCGACGGGGTGCGAGTGGGGCCAAAACGGTTGGAGCCGACGGGCGGCGTTGCGTACGGCACGCCCAGGAACGTGTCGACGGTGGCGGACGGAGGTGCGCCGGGAGTCGCGGACACGGCCGCGTCCACGGTGCGCACCACGCCCTGAAGCTTTCCGTACCGGGTCTGGACGACCCGCGTGAGCGTGGCCGCGGATGCGGCGGGCGTCCACAGCGCGACCACGGCCACGATCGCCACGGTCAGCGCCACAGCCGCGGCGCTCACGGTCGGTTGGCCGATCATTGGCCGCGGCACCGATCACCGTCGGCGTTTCTCGCGTCCCATGATGTCCGGCACCGCGGCCGGCGACGAGTCTCCCGTCTCCGCCGGTGGTTGGACCACTACCGGTGGCGTCGGCGGCGCAGGCGACGCTGCTCCTGATCCCCCCGCGGCTCCTGTCCCCGCTACTGGCGTCTCCGACGCTACTGATGCCGACGGCGGAGCTGCGGCCGGTGTCCCGGTGCCGTCCGGCGCTCGAGCGGTCGCTTCGTCAACGGCGTCTTCCACGAATGTGCACAGCACGTACACCGCGACGGTGCACGTCAGGTACACGAGTGTCGTGGTGATCACGTCCACCACGCCAAAGTCCAGTGGCGAACTGGATTCGCGGTCACCGTCGTCCAACGTGTTCATTCGACGGCCGATCTGAGCGTGGGCGACCGCAGCAAAACGATGTCGTCGCGAGCCTGCAACCGATAGTAGAAATAATAATAATAATAATAATAATAATAATAATAATAATAATAATAATAATAATAATAATAATAATAATAATAATAATAATAATAATATAATAGTAAAATCATACGATTGCGTTGCGCTAGTTGTAATATAACGTTTGAGAGAAAACGCTTTTTTTCGATGGGAACGTTTTATGATATTATATTGTTTTAACTCTCGAGTCATGGCGGCCCAGTCGAAACTCTATATAATTATCTATATCTAAAGAAACCCATCTCGACAATGCATAATGAATTTTTCAAAGAACTGTGTGACAATTTCATTTGGGAAAACTTTTCTATTTATCGAATTGATTTTATAATATTATAATCGTTCTTCACTGCTTAATAATTGTTAAATACATTTTAAACCATTGTATTATTGATATCATAACTATATCTCATCACAATTTATTGCAAAAGACTAATGATATGCATACAAACTTAAAGATTACTATTACCTACGCTTGTTATTTATTACCAGACGATATTATTATTTCATTTTATTATTATAATACATGCTTATTTGCATACATTTCGTGTGCAGTTAACACCGCGAGTCTTGCGAATGAAAAGAAAAAATTGAAATTGATTTTTTTTCGAAACGTCTACACAACGAATATTAATTGTTTCAGAGAACCGTCAAGTTCGTTCGAAAATAGAGATTTCACTGAACTATGTACTCTTGTATAAAAACAACCTCGGGCAACGTCGATGGGTGTGGCTCGGAGAAGTGCTCTCGCAAGCTTCTGCACTTTATTATTCCAACAACTCGAATTTTGGCAAGGTTAACGCGGTAAAACAATTATCTTTGGAAACGAAATCTGCAGACAACGAAATTCGACGAAAACCTATTTAGCCGTGGGATTCGGTTTATCCAAACCGGATGAAAATCGATCGCCGTCCGCGATGACGTTACTCACCGACTTATATAGTGAGACATGGCCTATATCATTGTATTAAATCGAACGACGATGAAGGGACAAGGAATTTGCAATATTTAATGCTGCAGGATCCGTAAAGGACGCTTTGTCTACAACAGGTAAAAGTCCTTTTGTAATACGCGTGCCAATCATGGTATAATTGAATCGTGGTGCATCTATACGCGAATTTGCAGTACTTGTGCAATCATAGACCTATTATAAAGAAATTGACTGACAATCATATTCACCACCCAGTCATTACTTCAAAAAAATACTAAATTGTTAAAAAGAGTAAAATGTTAATATGCATAATTTGAAAGGTATAAGAGTGTAGTTTAAGAAAATTATGAAAGTAAAAAACTGTATATATCATGGGAGAATAATCAAACTTCGTATATTGTGATCAGTGGAAAAATGATTTGGTCTTCTTTTATCCTCTATCTTCTTTTGACAGTGTTGGATTCAGTACCTCTCTTTCTCTATTTCTACTAGCAGTTCATTTTCTTATAGGTCTATCATGGTTGAATAGTTTACAGTTGTAGACGATAATATAATATTCTATAAGAAACCGGATAACAATATTGATTTACGTGGCTAAAAACGTAATCAAACATTGATGTTAGATTATAATATTACAATTATTAATGTCATCGTCCCTAACACTTAACAGTTATTTTTGATGTATAATATTTTTATCGGATCATTAACGACTGTGAAACGCGTAATAATTTGAGTTCACCGCAAACAAAATCGTATTGTTTCATTTTTTTTCAAGACGCAGAAGAAAACGAACATAAGACTAATAATCGTATGGCGTGTAACGTCGCACCGCAAGACATTCACAAACGCACCAGTTGCAGAGCATTTGAGCATAATAATAATAGTAATACTACTATATATATATATATGAATTATGAAGACCACGATTGAAATATTGTCGTTTCAGTGAGCTAACGATTCGAATATTGCAGTTGGTGAACACTGTTTCGCAATACACACGCGATATAGGTAGGGCGTCATCATACACTGTATCATATTATTTTATTAAGACTCGCGTCGAGAAAAAGGATTAGTAAAAGTTTTTAAAGTCTGCGAGCGTTAATCCTCTCAAGCGAGTTGCAGTGTGACGACGGCACTGTCTAGTGTCCTATATATATATATTATATATATTTAAGGAGAAAAGACAACGGCGCGGAGACGACGTTTTAATATAAATTCACCAAAGTACACATTCGTTCGTATTTCATATTATATACAGTACACAAGTGAAACGGCGTGCGTGTGTGCGCGTGGCGATATATTTTCGTGTGCACACGTACAACACTTGCTTTTTGTCGATTAATTTTAATACCCATCGCGCGCGACGACAAAAACTTTGATATTAAATTCCTGGTGCGGCGGCAACGAAACGGTTACCGTCGACGAGACAGAGCAAGAAGAGACAGTGACAGCAGCAGGGAACGAGATTCGGGCAGGGCATAAATCGTCCGTGCCGTGTACACACACGCGAATTTACCGCGGGTATTGCGATTTATTATCGTTTTCGTATTATTATTATTATTATTATTATTTTATGCCGAGCGCTCCGATCGCGAGATTATTATACCGGCTGCTCTTCCGAACAAACCGATGACGTTTCGCGCGATATTATACAGCCACCCTCGTGTAACGTTTTCTGGGCAATGGACCCATTTTGAGCATGAAGCGCGATCACGGACCCTCCCCACCAACAAAAAAACATGTAAATTGTTCATTACATTAGTTTTGATGGCATATAAACTCCCGATAATGATCAATTCGTCCCGTTTCGGTGTTATTTGGGGCGGCATGCGATATGGGTGCACGCGCTATCGGAAATTTCACAGATTCGAATGACTAATTGTGTTTACGAAAATAATAAAATATATATTTACACGTCATGCACTAAAGCTTACAATACCAATTTACTTTATAAATATTCAGTTTCTAAGTTTGTACAATTTTTGGGTTATTTGGGAAAACTCTCAGCCACTCCGTGGCCCCCCCAACCACTCCGCCGAGAAATCGACTGCGGACCCCCCTTGAATCACTGCCACCGTTTAAGAACCCTCGCATTGATATGGTGTTGTATCAAGTGTATTATAATATAAACATAAACATTATTAATATTAAAACTATTAACTGGGTTAAGAAAACAACCATCCGTAACAAGTTAAATTCTAACAAATTATGCAGTATTCAATTTAGTAACAAGAACATAACGGCGTAGGAACATGCATTCCACCAATCTAGGTTGAGATAACAACTATGCAATAAAACAGTAATTGGTATAATTGTAAGCATAGTCAATAGTTGAGTAAAATGTAACTATAGGTTATACGTCTTAATATGGATAGGGCTTGGATAGTGAATTTGCTACATAAGGAATATTATCTGAAGACAGAAAAATGGTCAGAACTGATGATGTTGTGGTGCAATTACCGTTGGATGCCGGTTGTTGATATAAGTGCTTATACAATGTATCATTTATGTACGTCTGAAGTAATATCGACGTATACTACACTAGTTATCATAGATATTTTGAAAATAATAATAATAATAATATAACGTTAGATATAATATGCTGCTACAACTGACGACGATCACTATATCTATGTTGTTGACCGTTGGAAAATGTGTCACGACATATCACCATTATCATTAGAGTTAAGATTTTGGTGACTTTTGCCTTTTTTTTTCTTTAAGTGTTGTACAATTCTAACCAAAAACTAATTTGTTTCGTAATAATATAACAATTTAAAATATGTAATTTTTATGTTGCATTTTTTGTGTTAAATGCATTTTATCGCCTTTTTAAGGTCATTTTTACGTAATATTACAAATATTACTTTCATTTTGTGTATGTAAACTAATTTCTGTTTATTTTAAGATTTTTTAATATGACGTGTTGTAAAGGTAATCCCAATTAGTACCTATAGGCAATTACCTACTCCAGTCCATTGATATTGAAAAAGTAATATAATTAAATGTCGATTTATCCGATAAGATTAAATATGGAACGAACCCATAACTATTTAGGTATACTATAGTAGCTTTAGTAGTGAATTCAACACGTACCTATGTGGTTCTACCGATCTTAACTGTACACAATTATCATCAAACTTTGACGACGGTTTCTATCAATTTCGTGTACAACCTTTAATCACAAGCCAGTATATGATTAAGTGCGTTCCACCGAACTTTGTCTTTATTGCAATGCGAGTTTCAATACGAATTTAACAGTCGAACAACATATTTTTAGAGGTTGGTATATACTATATAATATATATAGTATATATATATATATATATAAATTATATTATGTGTGTGTATATATAAATTACATTTTGAATGTATATAATTATGTGTGTATGGATGTATGTAGTATATTATGTATGTATGAGTGTTTATAAGTATACGTTTATGTATGTACTATGTACCTATGATCGTATGAATGTATATAGGCATGTGTGTACGTACACAATATGTATGTATTTATTAATGTATGCGTATTAATGTGCATACATACATACATGGTTATATACATTAATAAATACATACATACAGGTATGTGTATGGACAACTTAAATTGACACGCCTGAACGTTCA